AATTGGATGAAATTTGGTGTGATGATTCTATGCACTAAGAAGTTTAATTGGGAAAAGTATGAAGATCCTAGGTATTATTCAAGTGTCTGAAAAAAATTGACAAATAAACTAGCATTTTTTGCAATTTTTTAAATGATTTTTCCGATTTTTGCAACAACAATAATTATTTTTTCGAATTTCAACCAACTCTATCTTGTTCAAAATTTAATTACAAAACTTTTTTCCTCTTCCATTTTTGTGTAAAATGAATAGTTGCTAAGCTACCGACGAGAAATCCAAGAAAAAAATGAATTTTTTTGCTATTTTTTTATACTTTTTTGCAATAACAATTAAGCCCACTTTTTTTTATTTGCATAGAAAAATTATTATTTCTAATGTTGTTTAGAAGCCGTTAAAGCAAAAATCTCCGGTCATATGCGTTTTACCCAAGTATACCCTTTTAAAACAGATACCGCCTGGATTATAATGTGGGTACCATCCAAACCCTCCGACAACTAGTTCAGTCATTTAGATCATGGGATCCATTACTGAATATATTCCTAGTAATTACATGTTTATCATCATTCTTCCTATTAGCTATAACACTAAGGTAATCATATCATATGTAGGTATGTAATTAAATATTCATTTTCCTATCAAATATAAATGTTCCATTGCTTGAATGATACTAATATAAACCAGTTGTAGTTGATTATTTGTGATTTAAAGAAATAGTGGTCATGTTGGTACAGGATAGTCATTAGTAATACAATAAGTTTTCGCCGCGTGATGGTAATTTAGGACCTAATTTGACTTTTTTTCTGAAATACTTTGTGCGAATTCTGAACTAGATTTGATACTTTTTGAAACGCATCTGGGAAAGATGCAGTTGTAGTTTGAAGAGGCCCTCTTGTAATTGATGCACCTAAATACAGGGTGTTTGGAAAAGTTGGTACAAAATTTAAGGGGAAGAAAGTTACGGCGATATGGCCCTTCAAAGGGGTCTTATCCTTTGGATATTTTTTAAAATAACTTTTTTTCTGATTAAGATAATGGAATGAAAGTTGTTGGTAATAATCATACCATAAGGGTCTTTAACTATCATAAGTTTCATCAAAATCGGTAATAAATAAAGATAGTTTTCTAACTACTTAATAGAAAATTTTCGATTTTTTTTTCATTCCTTTGAATTATCAAGCAAATAATAATATTTTTTAATGAAATAGACTTTTTAAAGAAAAAATTTCTACTTTTTTTCGTATTCTGCGTAGTTTAGTCAGAAATAATAATTTTTTAAATAATGTATAGCTCAGAACAGTAACTTTTTTTGTAACATTTTCACATAGTATGCATCTTTCACCATGGTATGATAGTTTCATTGTAATGATACTAATGATTGTCAGTTTCGCGTGCTATCATTTAAATTCTTACTTTTCTTTATTCTCTTAGTTGTGATCTTTGTGCTTGACTTTGCATTTAATTCAATTTTTTTGCAACCATGAACCATCATGCTTTTACTAGCCGTGAATATGCCGATATGCATTTTATTTATGGTTTCTTTAATAGAAATAGTCTGACGGCTCAAAAATAGTATCGGCAACGTTTCCCTGATAGAAGGCAACCTTCTGCAAGATTGTTTGAGAAAATTCATGTAAGAACGATGGAATCAGGAGCCCTAACTCCAAGATATCGTGAATTTGTCCGTCCAAGGAGGCGTAGGTACGCACAATTTAGACGAATTTATTTAATAATAATAAAATTGATTTAATTAATAATTTTAGGATTTTCTTTAACGGTAATCCTACTGCTCCGGAGGACGAATGTTTATAGGGACGTTTTATACTATTTTTGGCTCTACTTTCACGTCCTTAAATTTTGTACCAACTTTTCCAAACACTTTGTATAAATAGCGTTGTACCACTTTTGTTACTTGAATTGTTTAGATATCGATGTCGTTTCATAGAATTAATTCTTAGCAATTCCAAAACTGAGTAGATTGATAGTATAGTAAAAAATATACACCAGTGTTTGAGAACACTCAACGCTGTAATTGAATATAGCTTTAAAATACACTTTACAAATACAATTTGAATGGAATGCCCGAAAGTAAATGTAAAAATTTGGTGGGAAGGTTTTCACACCAATATAACTCTTAAGACAAAACCATGACATAAGCGTATGTATACTTGTTGCATAACGCTAAGTGACTAATCTCAAAGCGATAATAAAACAAACACTTCATTAAGATTTATAAGGGCTTTAATGAGAGCATTAGGTGAACTAGCATAGGGGTGAAGGCCTATGGGATTGTAGGGTACGTAATACCTACGCGAAGAATTTATTAGTAGTGACGGTGACATGGCCTTCAGGGAACATGACCCTTTGGAATTGCAGATAATGGCTGCCTACTTTGCTGCCTACTTATACTTAAACAAATAACTATTTAATTTCAAGTTTATATTATTCGACACATTTGCACTTATTATTATTAATCGATAAAAAGTATACTAATTTGCCATTTTTGTTTGTTTCAGAGGACCTAGATGCACGGGAACTCGAACGACCGCAGGGCCCTCGAGAGAGAGGCCCTGCGAAACGTCATTAATCAGTGGAACGCAAACAGGCTGGATCTTTTCGAGTTGTCCGAACCAAATGAGGTAAATATCGCCATTATAACTAAATTAATTACATATCATTGTTGTGGAATTCGTTCAATGGAGACATCGTTCCATTAACGACCGATGAACATATCAAAAATACTGACAGTGAAGCTGATAGGTGATTAAAATATTAAAAGCTTGAAACTCAAATAGTACTGTTATTGTTGCTATAAATTGATGGGCGCTGTTATTGATCGTGTAAGGCCAGCTTTTATACATTACATTTCGGTAAATAGAACCAGAGTTAATGTTATAGAATGTCCATACATTCTCAAGAAAAAAATATTAATACCTCTGCTATAATTTTCATGGCATATAAATGTGTTAGTAATCAGAAATCCTCGTTAAAACACATTTTAAGCTCATTATCATTAGCATGCGATTGAGTTAATTGCTGAAAGAAATACCAAAAAACCTTGTTTTAAAGCGTAAACAACACGATACGTGCGTAGGAGATATAAACAAAGAGATCTTTCTATTTATAGCTTTTCAAGCAGTCTTGTTTATTATTTTGGATCTTTAATGGTTTTTTATTTGCCACAAGTCAGATTGCCAAAAGTTAATTATAATTATGGGTGATGGATGTGGAATTGTGCGTAATTTCTTCTTCATGCAGTGGCGGAGCGACGGAATGGGATTTAAGGGGATTCAAATTCCTACAATAGGGTCATTTTCTATTTTCTCAGAAGATTTGCTTAAAATATTTTATTCGTAAATCATGATTTGTTGATTTTGCGCAAGAAATAGGTAAATATATAATGACGTAGTTTACAAATTAACACTCCATTTCTGTAGTAACTTTAAAGACAAATACACAATGGCTTATATATAAACAGTTATAGAGTTTCTAGCGATTAACTCCAGTTTATTGTAGGACGGGGGGATTCATTCATTAAGAATTTTAATATACACATATAAGGCAACGAACTGACAGAGTAATGCAGAATTTCCCCGGAAATAGAGACCATACCAACTTGTGCATGATATAAGCAGCGCAGTTGTTGAATACCTGAAAAACTAATTGGTTAGAGATTTTTGTATATATGTATACAGATCTAAAAATTCCATTGTTTCGGCTTATTATTATCGTATATTCTATGGTAAAATTTAATATACTACTAATCTTTTGTGAACTATGAAATCGTAGAATTTTTGTCTTATTATTAAAATATTAAATGATTTCCAGAAAACTTTTTGACTCACCTAATGAGGCATTAGAATTTGTCTCGAAATTCCAATCATTCGTGCTATAATTAAAGAAGCGTCAATAGCATAGATAGTAAAATCTGTGTTTAGTGAAATAGAATCTGTCATTTATGTACATTAAAAAAAAACTGAGCCCAGAACTGAACCTTGTAGTGTACCCATCGTACAGGATACTGCACTAAGTAGCTACTTTTTATTTCAACATATTGAATTCTATTTTCAAGGAAAGTTTGTACCCAGTTCAAAGCCAAACCTCTTATGTCATGTGAAAAAAAACTTATACATCAGTCTGTTACCTGCGAAGTAGTATACAGGGTGTCACCTAGCGAATGGTACATACTTCAAGAGTATAACCTAGAACCCAAATGGTGTCGATTTAACCGAACTTGCTTAAACGAAAAATGTCGCAAAAAATTTACAGGGTGTTAAAGTTTCTTTTTTATTGTTTTCTTCTTAACTCAGAACCCAGTTAACCGTTTTGAGCAAAATTTGCTGATGCTTAGTTTCTCTTCATGGATTATGAACTGATTATGTTCGTATTAGGTTACATGGTGTTATCAGAAATAGGTAGAGAATTTTATTATACACAAAAAATGTATGCCTATTAAAAGTCGAAATTATGTTCGGTTATGAAGATATTACAGAAAATATTTATTAACACATATCCCATATTTTTTGGAAATATGGAGTATGTAACAGGCTATATTTACTTATTGGACGTACCACTGCTTTGCCAATTTTTAGTTAGAATGTCAAATTTATTTAAAAAAGACAATAATTATTAATCTAAGAAGCTAACACAGTAGAACAGTATTCAAATATTTTTTAAATTGCAGCAAGCCCTGTTACGGGTTCTAAACTACTAGGATCAATTCCTTTAAAACCGATACAATCAACCCTTTCAGTCTTCTGATCTGATTTTTTCATTTTCTTCGTTTTTTTAAACAAAAATGGGACGCTGACATTGAACATGTAAATCTTTATTTTTAAATTCTAAATCTGTTTTATCAACAACCGGTTCTACAAATCCAATATTGTCTGGCGGTATTTCGTTTTGTTCCGTTTCAAAAGGTCTTCAAAATGCCATGTTGTAATAATATTAGTAAACAAAATACCCCTCTTATTTCTCCCTTTGATTAATAGAAAGTACCTGTAATAAATTAAAATTACCTGAATCACTCCAAATTCCGCATTGCTGCACTGCACTGCTAGGCAATTTGTCGACAACTGAAATTTATGGCCGGTCGCCCAGTCCGGCTATGTTTGTTAGCCCTTTGGCCGCGCGCGCATTCTTCAACTGGGTGACCAGACCTGTATATGGGTATGGCTTAATAAATATAGGAACAAGTTTTTCAAATACTTCAATGCCGAGTTGCTGCGTAGCGGTCGAACCTGATACATACTGCCTAGCTCTTTGGTCTTCAGTTGAGATCGGAAAGACTATACTATACAGTCAATAACATCTTTTACTAAAAACGTACGTCATCTGGAACAGATTATCTTTTATTTTGTACTTTTCTTTTTTGTAAATCAGGGATTTCAATTGGAGAATATTGATTTGGATATAGAGAGTTACTATTTTCTCTACAAATATTATTAAAACTTGAATTGTTTACGTCTGTGTCAATACAGTACTTCGTCTTCCACTAATATTTCGAGGAGTTCCAACGAAACATGATAATCAAAAAGAGCAATTAATCTGCTTGTTGACTTCATACATATTTTGTATGGAATATTTTATATAAAATTTCACGTAAGGAAACGAACGAAAATCTAGTAAGAGTTCGCATTTACATATTACTGTTTCATAAAAGTATGACTGTCTTCTTTGTATGTTTGCTCTAAATCTAAGAAAAAATTGTACTTGGTTTATATTGGGATTTAATCATATTTGTCTTACACATGTTAATAAATAAAACAAACAAGTCTCCATAAAAGAAGGGTGTGGAAAATTAACACGTCTTCACAATTAGATGAAACACTGAGCTTGTTTGCTTTAGTCTTATCGCAATACTTACGCCTTTAAAATAAACGTTAGCAGTGTCGGTGATTATTGTTAATATTGTGGTTACGTGGACGAGCTCTTTAAAAAGCTGATAAAATAAAAAATTATTAAATCCAATGACCTTGGTTTTAAACATTTACGATTACTACTTACTAAATAACTAAGTCTTGTGTTAATTCAAAAGGAAAGAAACAAGAGTTATTTACTTTGCAAATATATTTACTTTTGATGTATTGGCCTCAATCAATTACAATTATGTAATCAATTAATCATTGGTATAGGACTTTTATAAGGTTTTACGAATTTTCTATAAAAAATATGCTGAACTACTTTAACTAAATTTTCAGATGGAAATTTACGAGAGACAATCCTCGGCAAAACAATAGCTCATGCACGTATATCTTCCTAAGTGTGACGCGTGATGTGTTATCTTAACTAAGCTAATTACTGGGCTTAGAAAGGAGCCGTGTTCGTTCTGAATTTTTGCTTAATTAGGATGTAATAATTAGACACACGGATAAATCATTGTCTGCTTAAAATTTCCTCTCGAAGCTTTCGCTTTGCGCTGGCCTGAATGCCACAGGTCAAATAAACTTAAAGCCTCAGCGTTGCCAGTGTCACACTTAGCACCAATTAATACGTCCAATTGTTTTAGAATCACACGCGGACATGTACTGAAGTCGAATATTCGATTTGCGTAAAATAAAGTATTTTAAAGATTTAAGTACATTTAAATTGGTTTTCCTGCATTCATGAAGTTGTCGATTCTCTTTGCACTATTTTATAAGATTTTTTATCTCTATCTACATTTATAAATATGTAGTTCCCTTTGCATAACACATAAAAGTGTGATCTTCCTTGTCCTACATTTATAAAAGTATGATTCTTTTGACACTAAATTTATGGAGGTGTGGCGTTTCTTTGCTCCACATTTATGAAGGTGTGATTCTTTTTGCACTATTTGATGAATTTTTAATCTCTCATGGCACTACAATTATAGGATATGATACCGATATGCACTAAATTCGCAAAAGTGTGATTTATTTGCATTACAATCTATAAAAGTGTGACTTTTTAGCAGCATTTATAAAAGTGCGATCTCTATGTGCGCTTAGTTTATAAATACAAGATACTTTTCTACTATATTTATAAAAGCATGATTTTCTTTGACCCGCATTTGTGTAGGTTGTAAACCCTTTGCACTATCTTTGCATTATATTTATAAGTGCAATTCTTTATATATTACACTTATAAGTAATTTTCTTTACATCACATTTACAAAAGTGTGAACTTTATTCACGTTATAAATGTGTGACTTCTTTGCATTATTTTTATAAAAGTGTCTTTCTTTTTGCTGCATTTATAAAAGTATAATCTCTATGCGTAACGTTTATAAAGGTGTGATACTTTTTCCACTACATTTATAAAAGTGTGATTGCTGTAGTGTGGATTTATGATTTTCTGCGCACTACATTTACATAATGTTATAATTTTGTTTACACTGCATTAATTGTCCCCATTTTCTGATTTTTATCTCAAACGAGATACTATATAAGGGGGTCAGTCGATCGATATTCTTATTCATTAAATCACATGCTGTATGTATAAGCTCACATCATCAGCTCCAACAACTAGACTGCTTAAAAAAGGATAAATTTGAAACGTTATTATTTTCTCGGCAACACCTATTAAGTTTCAACGATAATATGGCACTGTTTTTTTTTCCTCGGCAAGTAAGGGATCGAATTTCCGATACCATATCGTGACAAATCTGGCTAATCCGCGT